AAAAAAAAAAAAAAAAAAAAAAAAAAAAAAAAAAAAAAAGCTAAATTAGATTCTAAAAAAAAATGTAAAGAAAGCCGATTTTTAAGCTTTTCAATTAATTAAATTTTTATCACGCTACAATTTTTTTTTTTTTTTAATATTTACACACAAATAATATACTAAAAATAAATAAATGTAACATCAAAATCTTTTTTTTTATCATTTCTAAAAATGAATGTTCATTTATAGATTTTTTTAAAAATAAATTATAATTTAAATATTTCATTATCTAATTTTTTTTTTTTATTTTTCTTTAATAATTTTTATTTGTGTATCTTTAACACATTTTTAGAAAGTATATTAAGTTGTAATTAATTAAAAAGGAATGTTTTTTATTTTTCTTTAAATATTTAAAAAAATATTATTTTAAAATAAGTGATGAAAATTTTTTTTATTAAAATGTTTTAATAAAAAAGCGAGATTTATTTTTTAATTAAAAAAAAAAAAAGAAAAACAAAAATGCTTATGTATCTGATAATTTAAATAAATACATTAAAAAATTAAATGGGAAAAGTTTTTAAATTACAAAAAAAATGCAAATAATATATTTCACAAAATATATATATTATTAGGGATATCTAAACAAATTACACATTCTATAGTTTCATAAAAAAAATAGCAGCAATGAAAGAAAAAGAAAGTTTTTGAATTTATATTCTCAAAAAATAAATCATTTCTTTTTTTTTTTTTTTTTTTTTTTTTTTTTTTTTACTATTAACAGAAAAGGTATTAATTAATTTATGAAAATATATTCCTATTTTTTTAAAATATAATTTTTTAAAATTTTTTTTATTTCATAACCTAAAGATCTACAAGCACATTCAGCGTAGCTAATAATCTAAGAGAAAAATAAACATAAATAATAAAATCATTTTTTTTTTTTTGTATCTAATAAAAAAGTTAATTTATATTTTAATTATTAATTTTATTTTACTTCTTCTAATGTTTTGCTATTAAAAAAATTCCCTGAACCATGGAAAAAACAAACTGTCCTTAAATTTAAACATATGCCTAATGTTATTTCATTCATTTCATATTTACTTCTATAATATTTTTCTTCCTGTAAAAATAAATATTTATTTTTAATTTAAAATATTTATATATAACTTAAAAAAAAAAAGTTAAAAATTTATTATTTTTTCTATTTCTACTAATCCATCCAAATCAACAAGATGATAAACTCTATTCGTTTTGGGACAAATTATAGAATGCTTTAAAAAAAAAAAAAAAAAATGAAATATTAAATTATTACTTTTATTTTTCATATAAGGAAATTCATTAAAAAATATATATAAATATGTTTTTATTATTATAATTTTTTTTTTTTTTTTTTTTAAATACTATATTTATAGATATAATCATATCATGCATTTGTATTTGCGCCTTAATTAATGCAAGGGATATACATGTTAATGCAGCACTTAAACATCCTTAAATAATTAAAAAATTCAATAAAATATTTATAAATTTATATATAAATATTAATAATAATAATAAATAAAAATATATATTATGATTTTTTTTTTTTTTTTTAAGTTACCTCCATCACTTTGAATTATTAAACATTTAATATAAATAGAACAGTGTGGATATTTGTCTAAAATAATAATATTTGAAATGCATTCAATTAATAAACTTTTTATATCATCATCACTCTTGTAAAAAAAAAAAAAAAAAAAGATATTAGCATGTATTAAGAACTGAATTATTCAGAAATATGAATTATACAAAATAGATTTAGATTATAAAAGTAAAAAACAAAAATAAAAATACTTTTTCATTAGATCCATATGTGTTCATATTCAAACTTTTGATATCTAAAAAAACTTTTCCTTTATTATAAGTTGCATTCTTTGAATCAGGTTTAGGCCCATATCTTCCAAATAGGAATAAAAAAAAAAATTAATATGAATGTATATTAATATATATATCTGAAATTTTTTATTCAAATTAAATAATATTTAATATATTAAGATTAAAAATTTACATTAAACATAAAATCTTAGTATTTCCTAATGAGTAAAAACATGAAGCATCTGAATAACCATCTTCTCCTAATTTTATAACTATGAAAATATATATATATATATATATATATATACAATATAAATATATATAATTTTATTTAAATATTATATATATATATATATATATATATATATATATATATATATATATATATATATATATATAGAATTACACATATCCCTGATTTCATTGTTTTTCCGATTATTTATTCTCTTAAAATTTTCAGTCTTCAAAAATTCTTCATCTATTTTTTGTATTTTACTTTTAAAATTATAAGGTGGTAATGGAACCCTATACTTTGACATTTATTCAAAGAGTTTATAAAAATATTTATTTTAACAAAACAAATTTTTATTTATTTTTTCCTAATATATAAATAATAAATAAATATATGTTAATATGTAAAATCAATTTTCCTTTTTTCTGTATATATGTCAATTTTTATAAGCAGATATTATAAAATGAAATTATATTTCTTTTTTTTTTTTTTTTTTTTTTTTTAATAAATATGTCAATATTTTATAGTTTTTTTTTTCTCTTTTTTTACCACTATATAATTTGAAAAACTTTAAGTATATTCTCTTAATATTTTTTCTTATTTTTTTTTTTTTTTTTAATTATAATTTAATATATTTTTTTGTATTAATTTTCATAACATTTATATAAAATTTATTTTTTTTTCTTTTTTATATATTATTTTTTTTTTGGCATTTTTCTTATATTTTAACTTTTCCAATATATATATATTTTTTTTTTTTTATTTAAGTATATAATGTTTTTAAAAATATATACATATATTATACTTATATATTTCATTTTATTAAAATTATCGGAAGAAAAAAATTATATAAAAAAAAATATCTTTAATTATTTGTTTTTAAATCCAACATTTAAAAAAAATACATATAAAAAAAAAAAATTAGAAATATTTTATAATGGTATAAGAATTGGTCAAGGATATGACATTCACCAAATAAAAGTTTGTGATGAAAATAATGAAATATATAAAAATATATATACTGAATTAAAAGATGGACAAAATTTTAAAAAGCTGACAATTGGTGGTGTTAAAATACCCAATATTTGTGTTTTAGCTCACAGTGATGGTGATATAATATTTCATTCATTAGTTGATTCTATATTGGGTGGCTTAAATTATTTTGATATAGGAACGTTGTTTTCTGATAAAAATGAAAAAAATAAAGATAAAAATTCTTCCTCTTTTTTAAGATATACTAGACTATTATTACATAAAAAAAATTATAAGATTGGAAATATAGATATTAATGTAATAGCAGAAGTACCCAAAATATTCCTTATTAAAAATCAAATAATAAAAAATATATCTTCTCTGTTAAGTATTGACGAATCACAAATTAGTATTAAAGGTAAGATATTATAAAATAGTAATATAAAAAAAAAGTAAAAAGAAAAGAATATTATTAAAATAAAAAATAAAAAAAAAACATACAATAAAACATACTTTATAAACTAATATCATAGGTAAGACACATGAAAAATTAGGAGTAATTGGAGAGAAAAAGGCAATAGAATGTTTTTCTAATGTTTTATTAATACCAAAGGATTAAAAACATTTTTATTCATTTTTTAATAAATATAAATAACTTTTAAAAGACTTAATTTTTCTTTAATGTATGTTTTTTTTTTTTTAATTAACATGGGGTTTCATTATTAAAAAAAAAAAAAAAAAAAAAAAAAAGTAAATATATAAATAATTATAAATTATGAAAAAAATAAATCTTTTTATTTATATTTAAAAAGATTTTTAATTAAAATTAGAAATATTATTCTAAATAAATATAAATTATAAATATGAATTTATACTTTGTGATAAATTAATTTTTTATGTTGGTTACATCATTTATGAAGAAAATTGAATATTATCTTTTAAAATTTTACAAAATATCAACTATTCCGGTGAATAATATTGTAAAATAGCATATCTAAAAAAAATTATGAAATAAAATAACATATAATAATAAATTACTCAATAAAATAAAATTACATAAAAAAAAAAATAAATAAATAAATAAATATATATTTATATGATTTAAATATATAAATTTTATTTTTTTTATTTTTTACTCTCCGTAGTTACTCCAATCATCACTACTTTTATTTAATTTTTCAACAATGTTTTTATTAATACCACAACTAAGAAATGGAAAAAAAGAAAAAATTCAAATAGTTTTATACATGCATATATGTGTATATATATATATGTATATTCTTTATAGTTTACCCTAATGGTGATTTTAAACACCTTAAAGCGATTACTTTTAAAGGAAAATAGTTTAAAACATCTTTGTGAGGTAATGAGAAATCAAAGTTTAAATCTCCTAAACATCTTCTATAATTTGCATCCCCTTTAAAACATACAAAAGAACTTTTTTTTAATTCTTCTAACAAACTTTTAGATATTATCCAATATGGTAATGGTATATTCCAATATATATCATCCTTTTATTTTTAAATATGTTTTCAAAAACAAATTTTTTTAAAAGTAAAAAAAAAAAAAAAAAAACTTTAATTATATGTATACTTTTTAATTATTTTTTTTTTTTATTTTATTACCCTTATAACCCATTTCTTAGTTTCTATCAATTGCTTCCATTTATTGGCCATGAAAACTGTATTAGGATACTTTAACAAAAAAAAAAAAAAGAAATGAATTTATTATTAAATTATAATTTAATAACGATAAAAATAAAAATATACATAAAATAGTGGTACATAATAAAAAAATATAAATAAAAAAAATGAGATAAGAAATAATTATTAATAATTTAATAAAATAAAGAATTGAGTTACAATTATAAAAATAAACTTTTTCTCATTTTTTTTTTTTTTTTTCTTTTTTACTTTATTATCGCCACATAAAATATTTAGAGAGTAATGAATATCTTTAGTCATAGTGTCCGATACAAATAATGGGAACTTCTTCACATGAATAGTTATTTCATCAAAATAATTTGTTAAAAAATATAAAAGACAAAAATCTGTTATCAATTCTACACCCATGTTATCCAAAACAATATCGAACCTCTTTCTTTTCTTAAAAATAATAAATAAATATATATTTATATATATGAATATTTAATAGTTTTTTTCATATATTTATATATATATTACTTGTGTAGTAATATCTTTATGAATATTATCTATATCATTGCATAATATATTTTCTAAAAAGAAGCTATTATACAATTTATCAATATTTTCTGTACTAAAATAAAATTTTTTTTCTCTTAACGTTTTTTTTTTTATGTCTTTTTCATCACTTTTGTGTTGTTCATTCTTATTTTTAGTTGGATTCCAACTTAAATCAAATTGATTAGACCATAAAGAAAAAAAAAAAAAAATAGAAAATATTTTTTTATCAGGATTTTTATTATACATTTCAATTAATTTTTTGGCACAAGAACATATTTCTTCTATTATATCTTTATTGCAATTTATAGCATCATTTTTTTCAGATTCAAAAAAATCATAATTACTATTTTCAAAATCATATGCACAATTCAGGTAACGGTAAAAATAATATTCATTAAATAACCATAAATTATTTATAATTTTTATATCCTTATCAATATGATAAGATAATAAAAAATTCCAATATTTTTCATCTAAATCACATTTCAGCATTTCATAAGTATGTTTGTGTGCATTTTTAAATAACTCTCTTAATTTTTCTAATTTTATATCAATATTATTTTTTTTTGTATATTCTATATTTTGTTCTTCTACTCTCTTTAATATAGTACCAGGAATTCTTCTAACTATTGTATCATTTTCCTTAAAATAAACAATTATATATACATAAAAAATTATTAAACAAATATTAATATTTTTATATATTTATTTTATTTTTTTTTTTTTTTTCAAATAAAAAAAACCATTGTATTTGATTTTTCACATGTTAACATATCAGGTAAAGTATCATCTTCTTTTCTTAGGTAAATAAACTCATCCTTAAAATTTTCATAAAAGGCTTTAAAATACATTTTCAATATATAAAATGTTATAATATATTTTTCAATTGTTATGCTAGATGATAGAAACTACCCTTTTATATTTAAAGTATTTTAAGATTTTATATTTCTTTCTACTTTTGTTTTAATATATGAAAAAAAAAAAAAAATAATAAATTTAAAAAATTTCTCAAAATTTATGTATTATTTTGAAAATTATAAGGAAATTATAGAATATAATATTACATTTAAATATTTCAACTTAATTTTTAATTCAATGCAATTTATAAATAATAATATATTTTAAGAGTATTTATATTAATATATATATATATATATATGTATTTTTATTTTTTATTTACATAATGACATTAACTTCTTAAGTCTATAATGGTTTTGCTTTTAAGAAAAAAAATTAACACTATTATATACATTAATGTATGTAGATTTATGTATGTACAAAAAAAAAAAAAAAAGATAACTTCTTAAAATATATATGTGCAATATTAAAAATTTTAATACTAAAAAAAGCATTCAGAAAATATTATATATATACATAAATTTTTTTTTATAAAAAATAGAAAAAAATAATAAAGGAAATTATTAAATGAAGGACAAATTTCAAATAAAAATTTAATAATGAAAATATAGCTATACTATATAAATGTACTAAAAAATTTCTTTAAATTATCTAAAAAGAAGCAAAAAAAAAATTCCATTAAAGTATACAAATAAAAAGATTTTAATGCAATTTAAAAATTAATTCATACATTGTTAAAGAAAATAAACTGATTTATATTATTAAATATATATTCTTATTAATTTAAATCATCTTTTTTTTTAATTTATTTTTTTTTAATATCAATAAATGGAACACCATATGGATATGCAACAACCATATTGCTTTGCTCATGTAAACTGCCACGTGTTAAATCAGATGATGTATATAAATAATTATATAGTACTTCATGATTTCTTAAATAATATGCTTCTTTTACAGGATTATTATTTAAATGAGGAATAAATTTATGTGTTGGAAAATAACTTTTATAAATATATTCCCCACTTTTCTTTAAGTCACGAATATCTGAAATTGTATCATCCTTATTAACCTGGTATATATCTTCACAAGCTGTTATTGTATACCCAGGCAATAAAGTATTTGTGACCTTTTGATAGTTCTCATTAAAAATATCGTTCGAAGGTTCATAAGTCCCTTCTGAAAAATAATATTCTAAATTTTCTGATTTATGTATACATGAATTACTATAATTTAATGCATAATTTTTTGAAATTTTATCTTGAATTAATTTTTCTTTTTTTTCTTTATTGTTTTTTTCAACATCTTGTGCAATTACATTTTTATTTTTTTCAACATTTGTTTCCTGATCTTTTGTCGTGTCCATTTTTTCATTTTTTGTCGTATTCATTTTTTCATCTTTTGTCGTATTCATTTTTTCATTTTTTATTGTATCCATTTTTTCATTTTTTATTGTATCCATTTTTTCATCTTTTTTCATATTCATTTCTTGATCCTTTGTGTCTTTTACTTCTTTATCATTTTTTATGTTCATTTCTTTATCTTCTTTTAATTCGATTTGATCATCTACTTCCTTTTTTTCGTTTCCGTTGTGTGAGTTATCTCCTTGATTTTCCTTATCTTCCATTGTGTTTAAATTTTTTTTTAATGTAATAAAGTTTTTTATTTTATTTTTTTTTTTTTTTAATGGTTTTTCTAATTGCGCAACTCCTTTTTTTAATTTGTAATTTCTTTTATTTAAGATTATTTTTAAATCTGATGAAATATATTTATTTTTTTTTTGAGTATTTTTTTGAAGGTTACTTGAAAAATTTCTTTTTTTATTAGTAGTATCAACTATTTTTATGCTTGATTTTATTAATTTACTTCCAAGAATATTACCTATATTTTTTTTTTTGGAATTTTTTGGAATGTTAATATTTAATATACTTTTCGCAGAAAATTTATTCAAATTATTAGATTTATTTGAAAATTGTCTTTTTGTGTAAATTTTTCTATATTTATCTTTTTCTGGGAAACTTTTTTTTGAAGTTACTTTTTTCTTATTAAAGGAATCATTAAATAACTTTATGTTTTTTCTTTTATCATAAGATAATAAAGAGGTACTTATAATTAATTTATTACTTAAAAAATTTTCTTTTTTTTTTATATTTTTTATTTTTTTTTTATCTGAATTCTCTTTTTCTGATTTGGGTTTAGATGATATTTTTGCATTTTTTTTTTTTTTTTTTTTTTCGCTGTTTAATCTAGGAAAACTAGCTTTTATTATAATATTTAGATTCATATTTTTATTTCTCATTTTACTTGTTTCCTTTTAATTTATAGCTGTTATTTCCTTATATTTTAATTAAAAGGTGAATTTTTTTTCATAAAGAATATCTTATTTCAATTTTTCACATAAATTTTCAATTGTCAAAAAATACATATATATATGTACATGTTCATGTATAGATAGTTTTAAAAAAAAATGTAAGCTTTTTTTTTTTTTGTCTTTTCACACACAAATTTGTAACATTTTACAATTAAACATTATGATGATAATATAAAAAAAAAAAGAAAAAGTAAAAAAGTATATGTTCACACAACAGATGAAACTAATATAAAAAAAACGAGAATTAAATAATTAAAAAAAAAAATAAAAATAATGATGCATGTGTACATTTCTATAATGTTATACAATAAAAAATTAGGAAAATATATTTTTGTTGTTAGACCTATTCTATTTTATTATCTTTTAAAATAACTAATAACTTATTAAATTCAATATTTTATAAGTAAAATTATTTAGAAAAATATCTTTATATTAGGAAAAAGCAAATGAATACATCAACTATATGTAGCATAAATTTAAAATAAATTCACAGTTTACGTTTAATTACATGTTGAATCTCTATAAATAAAAAAAAAAAAAAGCAAAAAACAAATAAGAAAAAAATTATATAAAATATAATGAAAAAAATTTAGATCACAACCAAAGGAAATGATTTATATCTTAAAATTTAAAAATGAGAATTATATTAAAAAAAAAAAAAAAAAAAATGATATTTATATAGTTACATACATGTGAACTGTAATATGTTTATTAACATATGTAATTATATAAATACAAAAATAAAATATCTTACTTAAAAATTGTAAAACATCTCAATATTTTATGTGAATTCTATAAAAAGAATCAATTTATATTTAAAAAATGAAATAGATATTAATTAAAAAAGAATATTCTTATGAATAAATAATTTAGTTAGCTCTGGTAAAAAATAAAAATTACCAAAATATCATTATTAATTTTTTGATCTAAAAAAAAAAAAAGTTATATTAAAATTTAAAAGTCACCTTATAGACACTTCAGAGATATAGTTGTTAAGCATTTTATATATGTGAAAAAAATAATTATTTAAGCATAGTTATTCATATAATTTTTATTTTTTAAATCTTTATCAGAATAATTTAAGTTTATTTTTTCATAATATATACTAATTTATTGAATAACATATATATTATTTATTTCTTTTGTTTATTAATAATTATTTTTTCTTGTATTTAGATAACAGTTTTTCATTATTATAGTGAGAAATGTGGAGAAAATAAAAGCTATTTAACTAAACAAAACATAACCATTTATTTTTTAAATTTTCCATTAAAAAATTTTTAGTAACATAAAGAAGAATTTTGAATCTTTTTAAAAAAAAAATTTTAACTTCCTTTATAACAAAAGATTAAACAAGTAATAAATATACCAAATAAAACATAAAAAGAAAAAAAAAAAAAAAAAAATCATTTAAATTGTATTTATAGAGTTAATGCATACATAAGAAAAAGGAGTAATTTTTTAATCAATATACAACAAAGAAAGAAATAAAAAAAAATAAAATAAAATAAAATAAAAATAATACAATAAAATAAATTATTAAATACTAAAAAATGAGAATTTAAATATTTAAAAAAAAAATATATATATTTCTTTTTCTTTTAAGAAAATTTATTCTATTATTTTTAGAAAAATTATAATTAATAAAAAGAAAAAAAAAAAATTATAATTTTGCAATTATTACAATTGTCTTAAAATATTACACGTGTTTAATTATTTCTAGTCAATGAAAATTTGTCTTTTTTTTTTTTCTTTCTTTTTTTTTTATTAGAATTTTTAAATTCATAAAAATAAGAGAGTATATTAAAGTTCTGTATTTCTTTTAAAGGTTTAGAAGGAAGTAACGAAAAATCTATAAAATAATCATCCGGAGCACAATACTTTTCAAATAACTGATTAAAAAAAAAAATATATTAATTATAAATATATAAATATATAAATATATAAATATATTAGTATATATATATATAAATAATATAAATTACGTTAGTAAAAAAAGGAAAAATTGATAAAAGGAGGAACGTAAATATCCAAAAACAGATAGAAAAAAAAACCCATCCTTTAGGTATTACTTTAATTTTTTCTTTTACTTCACTACTATAAAATACTCCATCAGCAAATTCAATAAAAGCAGAAAGTAATATAGATGTTGCAATATACTTTATACAAATAGACCAAAACATTGAAATGTTTCCAATATATACATTCCCACTTATAATTCGTTGTAACTCTTTTCTTAAACTTTCAATATTTCCTAAATATAATGTATAAAGTATATCCTTAAAAAAAAAAAAAAAGCATATATATACATATAATAAAGAAACTTGAAAAATTATTTTATTAATTATATAAATCATTATTTAAATCACATATTATTATAATTGTATCTTCTTTTACCTTAAAAGTAAGATTATTATAAAAAAATTCCAATTCATTTCTATTTAAATGAACTTCTACTTTTAGAACTAATAGTGCTACTATAGTACTTACTATAAATATAATTAATCTACATATGTTTAAAACATAAATATGATAATCTAAATAATTGAATAGAATACTAGCAGTTAAGTTAAGTATCCAAAAGGTTATATTAAATGATAAAACACCTATTAAATAAAAATAAAATGATATAAAAATAAAATAATTCATATTACCTTTAATAATTTGAAATATAAAATATATATTTCTTAAAATTAAATGAATATTTTTCTTTTTTGTGATTTAAAATATCCATATGTAAATATTCATGATTTGAAAAAATATTAATATTTTTAAAAGGTAATTATTATAGAATAAATTTTTTTTTACATGCAGTTGTTAATGCTTGAAATTGAGCTTGTGTATTATATAACCATCCTAAAATGATACAAATTAAAAGAGCAACAAAAACTCTACCATTTTCTGAAATAGTAAAAGTTAAAAACCAAATAACATTTTTAGCATCAACGTTTGATATAAAAAAAGAAGCTAAGAAAAAAAATATAGATAAAGTTAAAATAATCGTTCTTTTTTTTTTATTTTTGGAAAATTTAAAATCTTTTATAGTCATCACTAAAACTTCATATTGTATAGCCAAAGAAGCGCATGATAAAACTGCATATGAACCATAGTATAACATACATAAAGTTTTCTATAAATATATACATATATATATTTAAAAAATTATTGATAGATATTTCTTTTATTTTATTTAATTTTTAAAAATTTCTATTGTTTTAGAAATGTTAAATTATCATTTTATTAATTTAATAAATTATTTTTTTTTTTTATCTTTTTTTATATTTGAAATTGTCTATTAAAATTTTTATACTAATAAATATTTAGGTGTATATATATATATTTTTTTTTTTTACTTCCATTTTTTTTAAATAAGTAAATCCAACAGGAAATAGAACAAAAGAGCAATCTTTTCTTGAATAATCTAAAATATCAACAAAGTTGGAATTTAAACTTTTTGATATAAAACCAATAACAGCAACTAGAAAAAAAAAAAAAAAAAAAAAAAAAAAATCCATTGTTATTTATATATATTTTTTAATTCTCTCTCTTTTTAGAATTTAAAAAAACCTGCTGAAAAAAACATCAGTGCAGAAATTATTGAATTCCATATAGTAATAGCATACCCATCAAAAGCTAAATTTGTTCCTATTCTAAAAAAAATAAAATAATTTATATTAAAAAAATAATTACATTAATAAAATGATTTCGTTCCTATATATATAGATATATATATATTGTACCTAGATTTGGTTGCTAAAGAAGAATAAATTCCTATTCCAATTGATAACTCATAAAGAGCGAAAGAAACACATTGAGACCATAATGATGAATAAGTATATATATAAGAAATTTCCCATGATTCTATAAATAAATAAATATAAATATATAACATATACTTTCTCCTTTTTTTTTTTTTTTTATCATATTTTTTTGTTAATTTAACTTAAAACATGAGAATATGCCTGTGTTGCACCACTAAGATTAAACATGGTGGCAAATTGAGTAATGGATAAAAAACCTATTAACAAAAGAACAAGAGCTGAACAAAAAGCAAAATTCGTCAAACCAAATAACTGAAAAATAGTAACCAAAAAGTTACAAACAAATAAGAAAAATAATGTATCTTTATCTATATAAGAATCTCCTTTAGAAAAAATATTTATATAAGAATTATCTTTATTTATGCTTAATAAAGAATTATATAATTCATTTTTTGGAAAAAATTTATGTTGATAAATTAAAAATGCTTTTCCTAAATTATTAGGTACACATGACGAAGTAGACATAGAAAATAAACATAATGGTCTATATTTATGACAATTTACAAAATCATTTTTAAAACTCGTACAAAAATCAATTTCTTTACTATTTAATTTCCAAGGTAGCTCTTTTTTAAAAGAATTTATTAAATATATAAAATATTCTGCTGCTGTTCTATAACTATTTATATAACTATTTATTAGACATGTTAAAACCATAAGAAAACCAACAGAAGCTGACTGCTTTAATAATCTATAAAATACGAAAGGAGAAGATGTTCTAACTAGTTGCCCTACATATAATTCAAACGATAAAATAGGATGACAAACAAAAACATAACAAAGTATATATGGCAATATAAAAATAACACCATGCCAAGTAGACATTAAGAACCATATAGTTTCAATATTACCTACACCTATAGCTATAGTTAAACCTAATAAAAATAAAGAAAATCTTTCCAACCAATAACCATTATTCAATTGATTATTCAACCATTTTAATATTTTAACATTTACACTTTTTAATGTTTTTGGATTCTCAAATAAATCGCTCAATTGTGATATTTGTTCAGGTGTATATTGTAACTTTATTAATTTTTCTAAGAAATTTTCATCCTTTTCATTAAAAGTATTTGCATCACTAAAACTATTTAATTCTTTTATATCATTTAACAGATTAGTATTTTTTACTTTTTCTTTGGGATTTCTTTTACATGTTTTTCTCCTATTATGTATTTCATTAACATTTTTCAAATTAGTTTTATCTTCAGTAAATAATTCTTTATATTTTTCACAAAACAAAACACTTTGTTCTCTCTTTCTTACTTTATAAATATTCTGATTTAACGTTCTTTCAATTAAATCACTAGCATTTTCTTCTTTCTGATCTTCTTCTATATATTCATTATCATCTCCAAAAAATTCATTCTTATGTAAATTTCTTCTTATATTTGCATAAAAATTATTAAGATATCTTTTTTTTTTATATAAATTTCTATTATTATATAAATTTAAAGCTTCATTATAAATATTTTCTTGTTCGTAAGTTCTGGCATATTTAGACTTTTTAATATAATCGAAGTAAGCATTTATATTATTATAATTGTGAATATTTGTACTTTTATAATAAGTATTATTTTCACTAAAATTAATAGACTCTTCATATAATAAAGCTCTTATTTTTCTAATTGATGTTTTTTCTGATTTTAGCATACTATTATCGTCATCCTCATATTTTACAGATTTTCCTTTTTTATCATTATCATCATCTTCACTTGATTTCATTCTAATTATTTTTTTAAAATGACATTTCACTTTTTTTAACATACTGAAATATATATATTGGTATTTTAATATTCAATATAAAAATATAGATTAATTAAAAGTATACGTTTTATTTATTTTAATCGGTGCAAATTTCTTTATATATAAAAAAAAAATTATCATTATTCTCCTGTATATTTCATATTTTTATATGATACATTTGTTCTTTTATATATATATATATATATTTTTTTTTTTCTTTTTTTTTAAATTTCATTAAAAATTGACTTTATTTGTTATTTTCATTTGTGCACTTTGATGTGAAGACTTTTTAAACCAAGAATCTAAGAAATGAACTTTTTTTTATCTGTTTTTTTAATCTGTTTTTTATCTGTTTTTTTTTTTTACAATATAACACCTTTTCATTAGTTATTTTAAATCTTTATAAATTATATTTTTATTTTGTTATTTTTCTTAGTAGTGTTTTCATTTGTGCAAATATATAATATTCATATACATACGAACATATTTTGTTCAAACATTTCAATTTTTTTTAAATAAAAAAAAATTAAAGCTAAATAATATTATTTCCTTATATTTTTAACTTTGTATAAAAAGAGAAAATATTTTTTTTTTTTATAAAATATTAATACACATTTAGATGTATAATTGTTAGTGATTAGAAAAAGTAATTATATGTTCATATTAAAGAGTATTTCTGTCAAAGATTAAGAATATAAAAAACTAGTTAATTTGTCTAATTAAATAAAAGAAATATTTTTTTTTTTTTTTTTTTTTTTTCCTATTTATTAATATATCCTAATAATTATCTAACAAAAAAAAATTAAACTTTTTCCAATTCTTTAAAATGTTCAAAAATTGCAAAAAAATAAATGCAAAAATAAAAACAATGAAAAGTATTTTTCTATTTTGCACGCATACGTATGTGTTTTTTCATTTGTTTTTTTTTTTCTCTTACAATATTTAAGATTAGTGCATTATAAAATATATTTTTATATTATTTTTTTTTTTTTTTTTGTAATATTATTTGTACAGTTTTATAGAAAAATATATGAAATAAAATTGTAATACATAATAAATATTAAATTAATAAAAAATATATTTAAAAAAGAAAAAAAAAAAAAAAAAAAAAAAAGAATGAAAAAGCTAAATAATTGTGGTTCAAAATAAAAAATAAAATAAATATTAAAAATTGTTAATACATATATATATATATATATATATATATATAAGATTCAATCCAAATTTAAATTGATGGAAAATTTACAAATCATATTTATTTTTGATAATTTTCTTTATATATTTTATATTATATCATTAAAAAAAAAATTTTTAAATAATTTAAAAGGTCTTTTAATCAAATTTTATTGTTAAAAAAAATAAATAAATAATTTAAGTTTTTTTTTTCTATAATTTTGAAATAAAGCATAATTTGTGTTCTAATTATAGTTACAAAAACTTGGTTTAAAGAATTGATAATAATTAAAAAAAAATAACTAAAAGAATAATATATGCAAAAAAAAAAAAAAATTATATATATATATATATATATATATATATACATATATTACATAGGATATTTAATTAAGAGTATAACTAATTACATTATTTATAATATTATAGTTATCTTCATTCTTAATTTTTAAATTATTATAATCTATTTTATGAGTGATATCATTATGAAATTCATCGCTATAATCACTTTCTTTTTCTTTGTCATCTATTACGTTTAAATCATCTTTATTCAAAACCGATAAATACTTGTTTAAATTTTCAGAATTATCAACTAAGTCATCATCATATTTTAAATTAATGGAGTTTTCTTCAATGAAATAATAACCCTCTAGCTTTTCATTATTGATAAAAGAATTTTCTTTTTCTTCTAAATAAGTGTTGTCATCGTTTGACGAAATACTACTATATCTTTTTTGTTTTACTAAATCATAATTATATAAACTACTTTTTATTATTTTATCATTAGTTTTTTTCATTTTTTTAGACAATTCTTCTCTTTTAAAATCTGTTTTTTTTTTTTTTTCATCAATGCTTTCATCATAAAAATCATAATTATCACTATTTATATTTTTTAATACACAAGTCTTATTTTCATCACAATAATAGAATTCAGATGTGAAATTATTTTCGATTTTATTATTTTCTTCCTCTTCTTTTTCTCTATTATCTTCTATATTTACAAAATGTTTTTCTAAAAATTGACTTAATATTCCATCAATTTTAATAGAATTTTTATCATAAACAATTTTAGTTCTACATGAAGGACAGCTATCAATAGAATATTTTTGAATCGCTGTAGCTAAACATCTCCAACAAAATGAATGAAAACAGGAATTTAAAGTTACAGGATCATGAATTAAACATAAGCAAATTGGGCAAATATATTTTTCCATTGTAACAGGAGAATTACTAAATTTTTGCATAAATTCATCCGATATAATGTTAACTGATGAAATTAATTTTGGTAATTCGTCTGATAAACACCATGAATACATGGATATAATATCTGATATTCCTATATTTTGAAAAATATTAATACAATGCTTCTTTTTTTTTTTTAATATTTTAATCAATCCTATATAATTATATATTACATATGTTCTTATTATTTTACATTTGTTTGATAATAAACTTAATTGAACACAAAAATCAAAAAATTCTTTGGATACATTTTTTTCTTTCAATATATTTAATAACTTATCAAAAGAAATGTTTTTTTTTTGTATTTTCATATCTTCATCTATCATACCTACAGAAAAATTTTCTTCAATTTCATTTTTTATATTCATTATTTCTTTAAATAAATTTTGAAATGTCTGCTCTATTATTTTTAAATCATAATGTAACACATTTTCAAATTCTTCATTATATTTTTTAGCATTTTCAATTTCTTTTTCATTTGTACTTTTATTAATATTTTTTATTAACTTTTTTAAAAGTTTATAATTTAAATAATGCATATTCGCATGATTATGCATTTCTCTCCTAATATTTTTTCCAAACTTCATTTTGATATTTTTTTCTTATTTTATGTTTTTTTTTTATTTTTTCTTTTTTTTTATTGCTATATTTCTTTATAATAATATTTAAATATTGGTACATTATATATATATATATATATATATTTTTTTTTTTTTTTTAAGCTCTTTTCTTTATTTAACACAAAAAAAAACTAACAAAAAATTATATTTTTTTTCTTTTTCTTCTTAAAATTTCATTAATATTTTATATAATTATATATATATATATATATATATATATATATATATATACTAACATGTATATATTTTTTTTTTTATTATAACATGCATTTAAGGTAAGAAAAAAAAAAAAAAAACGTTATAAAAAAAAAATAAAAATTAATATTGTAAAAAAAATTTAAATAATCCCAGTAATTATTTTAATTTCATAATAAAAAAAATATACATATATATATATATATATATATAATATTTTTCACTTCTATTCAATACCTATTTTATATGAATTTTTTTTTTTTTTTTTTTTCCTTTTTATTTTTTCATATACTAAAATATGTAAAGATTTTTTATTTATTTTATATAATTTCAAATATTTCTTTTCAAAATTTACATAAAATAGGCTATAATAAATTGGAATTGAATTTAACAGAAATAAAAAAGCGTTGTTACTTTTTTTTTTTTTTAAAGTAATATATTTTGAGTGAATAACTCTATTAATTATGGATAAGAAATATAATAAATGCAACTCAACACATTAAAATAATTCACGGATTTTATTTTATAAAAAAAGAAAATAAATAAGTGTAGAATTACTATATAACATATGAATTTTATATATTTTCAGAAATATATGTAAAATTAATAGGTTTTATTTATGTAAACAAAAGGAAAATTCAAAAAAAAAAAAAAATAAAGGGAAAATTAATTATCTTATACATAAGTATATAGATAAATGTAATATACTTAAAATATATGTTACATAAGAAAAATTAAAATTGTATTAATTTTAAGAAATTTATGTTATTTTTAAGGTGTAGTGTTATTTAATTTTAAAAATTAAATAAAATAACTTTTTTAAAAAAAAAATATTTAAATTCTCAAAGTAATAATATTTAAATACTTTTCTAAAAGTCATTATTTATATACTATTTAAACTTAAAAAAAAAATACTTATTATGAGGATATTAAGTTTTACATAAAATTATATATCAAGAGGAATTTATAATTAAAATTTATCTATTTTTCTTTTAAATAGTTTTTTATTTATAATAAATAAACTTTCATATATCACATTTAGTATTAAAATATAATAAAAAAAAAAAAAAAAAAAAAAAAAAAAAAAGTATATATAGACGATAATTACACCTTTAAAACTTAAGATTCATATAAATGAAATAATAAAAAATTTTTACATTTTTTTTTTTTTGTCTGAAGACAAATAAAATTTCACATAATATACTTTTAACACTTTTACCATTTCAATTAGTAATGAAATTCTTTTTTTTATATTTTTTTTTAATAAAAAAACATACTTTTATTTTTTTATTTTTATAAATTAGAAATGCTAAATAACACAAACTTATAATTTAAATGAAGTATATATAAATATAAATAAAACTCTTAATTTTAATATATATATCATAATATCAATAAAAAAAAAAATTAAATGAAAAATAAATGAATTTAAAATATAATACTAAATAATATAGATATAGTTACATCAAATATAATCATATTGGTCCAAATAGGAGGAATAACAATTTTACAATTTTTGTAATACTATGAGAATAAAATTTTAAAAATATTAATAGTAATTTAAGACATTAAATACAAGTAATTTTATATATATTAAAACAAGCAATAAAATATGCTATATATAATATTAAAAATCACATTTTTTACTAATAAATTTTTATTATAAATGAAAAATAAAAAAATGTTATAAAGGTTTAAACTGATAATTTGTTTCAACTATTATTAAATTAAAAAAAAAAAATATATAATCATTATATTTAAAATATATACAACTGTTTTATTTAATTCTTTTAACACTGACCTTTTTATTTTTTTTTAAGATATTTTATTAATGCTTTTATAAACAATTTTATGTGTTGTCTCTTTAAAAGAGCATATGTGACATATACATATATATATATATATATAATTTTGAAAAAATGATCATATAAATTATTCTTAATTTTATTTTTTACTATATGTAATATTTTTAAATTAAAAAAAAAAAAAAAAAAATTAACCCTAAATATTTTTTTTTCCTTACATAGAGGTATATATCTATATAATATTTCTTAATATTTTACGGATAAATATTTCTATATTTATATATTACTTACCAAAATTTTTTTAAAGTTCTTTATAATAAAATTATATAACTAATATAAAGCTAAAATCTTTTTTTTTATAATTATTCTGAAATAAAATCTTAATTTTATTATATTATTAGTAAAATTTCTCATTAAGTTTATTTGAAATTTTTCTGAGGTTACAATTTTATTTCCATTAAACTGTAATGATATATAATTTTAAAATTATTTATAAAAAATTAATATATTATATATTTTAAATATATTTATAAGTTGTAGCATTTTATAAAGAAAATCAAACTGTTATGCTCATATATATATATATATATATATATATATATATATATTCATAACATTTTATAAGTACATTTATTAAATATTTAATCATGAAGTATTTTATTGTTACCATTTACACTATTTTATTTTATTCTTTTATTAACAATATTAAATACTATTTTTATAAAATATGTTTTGTTATATATATGCATTATATCATTCTTCATTTTTTATGAACATATATCAAATAATAGTCTTAAAACGAGTCATTATTATATAATATATTTTTTTTATTAGTACATATAACTTTATGATAATTATTACTTTTTTAAAAAATTTTTTTTAAAAAATATTTTATTATATATATATATATATATATATATATATATATATGTATATATATTTTTTTTTTTTTTCGTATTACTTTATTACTTTTTTTTTATCTTATTTTATTTTTTCCTGATTTCAAGTTTTTTCTTAGTATTTTTTTTTTTTTTTTTTTTTTTTTTTTTTTTAACAAATTAAACTTTAAAATAAAAAAATTCAATTTTCTTTTATTGGTTAATGTATTCATTACAATCTATTTTATTGGGCATTTCTGATATAGCAACTTCAAATCTTGTTTGAACTTCATTTAATGCTAGAGTATCTTCTTGAGATGAAACAAAAGTGATAGCTAATCCTTTCGTTCCAAATCTACCTGCTCTACCAACTCTATGTAAATAAGAATCAGAATTTTCTGGCATATCATAATTTATTACAATATTTACTCTTTCTATATCTATACCTCTACCAAATAAATCTGTTGACACTAATATTCTGTTTTCAAATTTTTTAAATTTATCATATCTTTCAATTCTTTCCTGTTGATCTAATCCACCATGAATTGCTATAGAAGGAAAATTACATTCTGTTAATAATTTATCTAATGTTATAGCTCTTGTAACAGATTTAACAAAAATTATAACTTGGTTAAATTCTAATGCATCTAATATTTCTATTAATTTTCTCGTTTTATCTTTTTCTTGAAGTTTTACGTAATGTTGTAATAATCCATGTAATTTTAATTTAGCTTCATCATCAATAAATATTTCCACTGGATTTTGTAAAAATTTTTTACAAACGTCTCTCATTTCTTTTGCCATTGTTGCAGAAAAAAACATTACTTGCTTTTTTAATGGAGTAGATATAAATATTTTCTGAACATCACTTCTCATATCTAATTTTTCTAAACACTTATCACATTCATCTAAAACAAAATGTTGGATCTTATCTGTTACTAAATATTTCTCTCTTATCAATGCTAGAATACGTCCAGGAGTTCCAATAATAATATGAGGAATATTTTCTTCTTTAAATAATTTGATATGTTTACTCATAGATATACCACCATATACCACTTCACATCGAACATTTTTTAAGTATTTACTAAATCTATCAAATTCATTTTTAATTTGATAAGCTAATTCACGAGTATGTGCTAAACCTAAGCATCTAACATATTTGTTTTGTGATTTATTATTACTTTTCAATTCATCACTAACATTAATGTTATTGTTATCATTTGCTCTAATATTATTTATTTCTTTTTCTTCTTTTATTTCTTTATTTTCATTAGTATCTAATTGTTGTAAAATCGATAAAACAAAAACAGCTGTCTTTCCCATTCCACTCTTTGCTTGACATAATATATCAGTACCTAAGAAAAAAAAAAAAAAAAAAAAAAAAAACATATATATATATATATATATATATATATATATATATATATATATATATATATATATATATATATATATATATAATTAAAAATATTAAAATAAAAAACATAAATAAATCATAATATAAATTTATATATCAAATAACCTCTTTTTTTTTATTACTCTTTTTATAAAAATTAAATTATACAATATTATCATAAACATTTTATTTTTTTATTCTTTTTTTTTTTAATCAACATATATATATACATATATATATATATACAGAAAAAGTATGTTACCTGTAATTGCAGCTGGAATAGTCTCTTGTTGTACTTCTGAAGGATGTTCAAATCCACTTTCACTAATTGCTCTTAATAATTCTGGTTTTAAAAAAAAATCTTTAAATCCTCCAGTATGAACTGTTGCATAACTACCTCTCATTGCACCATTCTCATTGACATTTTTATTACTATCATTTAAAATATTATTTTCTAAACTTCCTTTTGTATCCTTATTATCTAATATATTGTCATCATCTTCATAATCCACTAATTCGTCCTGAACACTATGATCAATTGAAGCCATTTTATTTTTTTTTTTTTTTTTTGTTTTGATATTAATTAAAAAAAAAAAAAAAAAATAAAAATAAAAAAGCTATAAAATATATACTAATTAATATATATTTATATATAAATTTTTAAAAAGTTTAAAAAAATCTCCTATCTCAATTTTTATTCTTATTTCTTTTTTTTATTTATTATTTTTTTTTTTTTGTAAATAATTTAATAAATTGTTCTTTCCTTTTTTTTTTTTTTTTTTTTTTTTTTTTTTCTCTATTCTGTTAATAATTAAACTAATGAAAAAAAAAAAATTTTTTTTCTTATATATATGTTTAAAAATTTTTGTAAGTATCAATTATAAGAACACTGATGTGACTGTAGATAAGATTATATAAAAAAAAAATTATTATAAAAAATTCTTAAAAATATAACAATAAAATATAATTTTTCTTTTTAATCTTAAAAGTATTTCTTAAAAAAAAAAAAATTATATATATATGTTAATAATCATTTATTTATTATTATACATATATATAAATATATATAAATATATAAATATATATATACATATATTTTTTTTTGTATGTTCATAAAATGACCAAAATACAATAAAAATTTAAATCCAAAATTTACACTTTTTATAAATTTCTTATAAGTTTTTAACAATATATCATTAAATTTTGTGGTTTGCTATTTTTTTAATATATACATATATATATATATATATGTATATATGTATATATATATATATAAATATATGTATATATATATATGTACTTAATATATAAATTGAAAATTTTTGTATTTTCTTCTATTAAAAATTTTTTTTTTCTTTTTAAAATAACTTTTGCAAACAGTATACATATTCATAGAAAAAAAAAATTAATAAATTAAAAACAGTAAAAGTATAAAACTTATCAATATAAATATTATAAAAAATTACTTTTAAAATAATAAATCATGTTTTTTTTTTTTTTATTTATCAAATATCTTTTTTTTTTTAGTTTTAATTTTTTAACTCATTCTTAATATTTTTTTTCTAATGATAATGAATAAACTCTCTTAATATGAATTTTATATAGAATTATTTTTTATAAATTTTTCATTCTTTTTTTTTTTTTGTGAGTTTTTAACTCGTTTTTTTAATAAAAAATATTAGATACATGAAAACCTTGAAATTTTCAAGTATATTACTTTCTTAAAAATGTTAAAATTAGAATAAATTTTTACTTAAACAACTTCATTAATTTTTTGAAAAAATTTACTGTAATTTTGATACTTCTTTTAATTTTATAATTTATTCTTTATAAATATATATATTATTTTCTTCTATGTTTAAAATTTTAATTAGATATAAAAATAAGAGAAATTAATCACGCATCTTTATTTATATATGCATTAATAAAAAAAAAAAAAAAAAAAAAAAAAAAAAATAAATATTAAGAAATTAGAAAACTAACTTTGTCCTCTTTATTTTTTTTTTTTTTTTAATTATTTCGTAAAACATTAGTTTTACAACTGTAAAGCTAATAATAATTTATATTAATAGTACAAAAGAATTGAAATATAAGTTAAAATGTTAAAATATTTTAGAAATACTATAAATGGTCTTTTTAATAATCTACTTTATACTAAAATTAATTTGTACTAATTTTTCTTAAATTATTAAAAGATTTTTATGAATCCCTTTGAAATAACAAAATGTAAATAATATTTCCCATTATTGTGTTTTGTTTTTTATTTTAAAATAGAATAATAATTAGATTAATTCAATTAATATAAATTTCATAATAATGTTATTGTTAAAGAATGTATGTATTTATGCACAAATAATAGCACATGTATTCAATTTTTAATACATAATTTTTGTTCAAATAAAATAATTAAAACCTTTTTTTGTATTTATTTATATATTTTTGCAACATTTTAAATTTTTTTTAAATTATTATAATTCC